GGCCGTGCCAGGCTCTCTGCTTCAAATGGCCAAAGAGCCAACTTGGCTTCTCTCTCTCTCTCTTCCCAGCTGGCGCAGAAAGTCCCTCATAAACTGAATAACCCCAAGTTCAACGACCCCCACGTCAAGACCAACCTGCTGCTGCAGGCTCACCTGTCCCGCATGCAGCTGAGCGCTGAGCTGCAGTCTGACACGGAGGAGATCCTCAGCAAGGTGTGGGGGGAGGCGGTGCCCACATTGCTTGAGGTGGGGTGGGCGCTCAGTGGGGCTCTTTCAGAGCTTAGAACTGAGTGGAGTGGTCGGGCCCATAACTACCTGCCTTCCTGGGGGGAGGGGCGGAGCTTCCTCTCCTGGGGGCGAGGCTGGCATGTGCGGAAGGGCCGGGGGCTGAGCTAGCTGATGTCTGTGTCCCTATACTGCACTCCTCGCCATTCCCCGGCATGACGGCTCTCTCCCCGTCCAGGCAATTCGCCTGATCCAGGCCTGCGTGGATGTTCTGTCCAGCAACGGCTGGCTCAGCCCGGCCCTGGCGGCCATGGAGCTGGCCCAGATGGTTACCCAGGCCATGTGGTCGAAGGACTCATACCTGAAGCAGCTGCCTCACTTCACTTCGGAGCACATCAAGCGCTGCACGGACAAGGTGAGAGCGGGGGAGGGGGACTGGGGAATTCTGGGTGGGGGCGCCCCAGAGCCTGGCTAGATGCAGACGTCAGCCCTTGTTTTTGTGAAATGGGTTGAACGTTTTTTGCTGCACCAGCTGCATTTCAGTCGGTACGTGGGTAACCTCTTCCCCTGTTGCTCCAGCCCTGGCCTTTTAGGGTGGAGAGCGCCAGGCTCTTGGCGCTGGTGCCAAAGGCTGCAGTTGAAGCCTGGTGCTGGCGCCCTGCCCGGTGTAGGGAGCTGGTGCAGGCTGTGTTCCTGGCACTGCAGACAGCACAGGGCGTGTTCTAAAGCCCCGAGGGTTTGCTCAATGCCTGCACTGTGTGTGCTTCGTTGCAGGGGGTGGAGAGCGTCTTCGACATCATGGAGATGGAGGACGAGGACCGCAACGGCCTGCTGCAGCTCTCTGACGCCCAGATCGCTGACGTGGCCCGTTTCTGCAACCGATACCCTAACATCGAGCTCTCCTACGAGGTGGTGGAAAAGGAGAGTATCCGCAGGTGAGCTGGGAGCTGCCTGCAGCGAGTGCCAGGGAAGGGATTGGCAGAGCCATTGGCATCCCTGGGTGCCGAATCCAGGCGCTGGGGAGGCAACTGGACCTTGCTTACCTCTTGTTTCTGTCTGCAGCGGAGGGCCGGTGGTGGTGCTGGTGCAGCTGGAGCGAGAGGAGGAGGTCACGGGACCTGTCATTGCTCCCCTCTTTCCCCAGGTATGTTGGCGTGCTTGCAGAGGGAACTGCTGCCTTCGTGGCTGTGACTGGCTGAGCCACCCGACAGCTAGGATGGGGCTGGGGCAGCCGAGGTCCCCACAGACCCCCCTGGAACAGAGCTGGCCGGGAAGCCCTCGCTGGCTGGGGGAGCTGCACTGGGCCCTTGAGCAGGATGACTCTCTGGGCTCCTCGCTGGCCAGCCTGGTTGTAACTGCAGGGCGGGGGGGTGGAACATAGCTAGGGGAGCTCCTCCCTCCATTGCGGGCAGGGACTGTTAACCGCTGGTTGTTTCCTCTGCAGAAACGTGAGGAGGGCTGGTGGGTGGTGATCGGAGACTCCAAATCCAACAGCCTCATTTCCATCAAGAGGCTGACCCTGCAGCAGAAGGCTAAGGTGAGCTATGGTGTGGAGGGAGGGGGACTTCGTGCAGCCCTGCTGCGGGGGCATTGGCACTTCCGGGCTGCCTGCCAGCAGGGTCCCTGGCAGTGGGCGGGTGCTAGATCAAACCAACCTGTGACATTCCACTGTCATTTCAGTGTCCCTGAGAAGGGCTGTCCTGCCCCCAGCTGTAGCGCGCACAGCACACCAGGCCAGCCCTCCTGTGACTTGGAGGACACCTGGCTTAGCGCCTGACGCAGCCCTGCGAGTGAGGGCTGGGAATTGTGACTCATACACGCAGGCTCGCATGCGTATCAATAGCAGTGTAGCCATGGCCGGGGAGGCATGACCTGAGAATGAGGGTGTCTTGGTTCTGCCACTACCTCAGCGTGACCTTGGGCAAGTCGCAGCCCCCCGCCTCAGTTTCCCCATTTCACCTGGGGCTAATGCCTAGCTCACAGGGAGTGCTGATTCTGACCCAGAGGGACAGGGCACGTCACCCCGTACGCTAGACACACAAGATCTGAGCCCCTGGGAAGCCCCCTCCCCTGCCCAGCGCTAGCCCCTTTGCCCAGCTACCAGCTCACAAATGCCTTTGTTTGTTTAGGTGAAACTGGATTTTGTGGCCCCAGCCACAGGCGCCCACAACTACACCCTCTACTTCATGAGCGACGCCTACATGGGCTGTGACCAGGAGTATAAATTCAGTGTGGACGTGAAGGAGGCAGAGAGCGACAGCGACTCAGACTGAGCTGGGCCTTAGCCAAAGCTGGCCTGGGCCTCCCTGCCTGGTAGCGGAGACCTGGGCGCAGCTGAGGCATCCCCAGTGGTTCCAAGGGAACAGCGGGTACAGCTTTGGCATTTGTTTTAATGTGTCCGTGTGAGAGTGTGGGCAGCACTGGGCCCTTCCCCCAGTGTAGTGGGGCCTGCGGGACTGCCTGCTTCTGTGCTGGCTGTGTGGGGCGACCTGGCCTGTTTAAATCATAACCTCCCCTGCAGCTCTGAGCTGCCCCATTCCTCACTGCTGCTGGGGCCGGTAGCACCAGCGAGGACAGCCCGTGGCGTGTGCAGGAGACTTCTCACCTCGCTGAGCCTGTGTTTCAGATGCCGATGGCTAAGCAGCCAAGCTTTGTACAGTGGTTTTAGAGGGGGGCAGGGTCAAGGACCTTGGCCTCAATAAAGCTCTTTAGAAACAACCTCCAGTCCCTGGTGTCCTGCGGAATAACTTGCTGGGGGTGCGTGTCTCATCCTGGTTTGTTCCTGTTGCCTGGAGCCTCCATGCCCAGGCACTGGCTGTTGGGAGGAATTATGACTAGCGAACAGAGGGCGTGAGTGGCATCCCAGCCCTAGAGCTCTCCCACTTCCTCAGAGGCCCATCTCACCACACTCTGGGGGGGACTTGCTCATGCCTGAACCCTTGGTGGCTCCGGCCCTGTATCCCAGCTGGGGACCGGAGCCGTCCTCTCATTGTTCTGTGTTTCCTAGCCCTATGGCAGCAGCTCCAGCCCAGTTCCCCTGCCAGTACTGGCTGCTGGGGGCAGATGTGATGGGGTGGCTGTATCTCGAGTGAGACACCTGGGCTCCATTCCTAGCTGTGCCCCTGCTCTGCCCCATGTGTAAAACAGGGAGAACTTGCCTTTGCAAAGCCCCATAACCCAAAGGAACGCCGCCATCCCACAGCCAGCCTGAAGTGCTGGCCCCTCTAAGAGTCTATTAAGACACTAGCAGCATCTTGCCTTCAAGAACCTCAAGCACTCAAGGCTGACAGCGTGTCCAAGCCCTGCTCCTAGCTGGAGTGCTGGCAGAGGCTGGCACCCACTTGTCCAATCTAACACAAGTCCAACTCAGCCTGTTCATAACATTGTTTGAAAGTCAGCACAAGGTGAAGACAGATGAGGCTAAGCTGGATTGTCTGGGCTCACAGGCCGGTGCTTAGGGCTCCTGGTAGTCACAGGATGATACAACTGGGGCCATGCACATTTTGTTGTTTCTGAGCCTGGGTGCATTGCACAGCCCAGGGCTCTGCATCCCCACCAGCTCCCAGGGGCCACCCTCCCCTCCCCCTCTCTGCCGTATGCCACTTGGCTTTGGCTGGGGGGTCGGTCAGCAGGTGAAATGCTAGTGGGAGGGTGGCCGAGCAGACTATGGCCTGGCAGAAGGTGTTAACACGGACTGCAGCTGGCTTTGCTCTTCAGCCAGCTGTGCCTGTGCCTCACACAGGAGGGGGGGGCTCTGTCTCCCTCCCATGTTTACAGGCACCAGCCCCTGAAACTCTGAGTTGAGTTGTTCCAGCCAGCCAGGCCACCAGCTCTGCCAGCGTGTTAAAGGTACCACAGGGAGGAAGTGTCCGCTGAGATCGCTAGCGGGGCTGTGGTCACTCAGTGGAAGCAGTTTGATGATCCTAGTTGCCCTCAGGCTGAGTCCCACCTTGACACTGTTGTCCTGGCCAGGCCAGGGGAAATGAACCAGGGACCATACTGAACTGCTCAATGTAATAGAGAGCAACGGTTTTATCAGCTTGTGCCTGGTTGGGACCAAGACCACCCCTGCTCCCAACCCAACCAATCACAAACCAGAGCGCTACGTCCCACAGCCCTGCTCCCCTAGCACTGCTGCTCTGGGAGGCTCCCAAAGGCCACCTCAGCAACCTCATTTCCAGCCGGACTCCCCAAGAACGCTGCTTGGCCCAGGGGCCTGCTGGAGACATCTGGCTCTAAGCCCAGTTGATACCACAGCTGAGCACATCACCAGGGGAATGAAGCGGAGCCAGGATTTGGGGGGATAGCTCATGATTATTTATTAGAACGCTTCAATCACAGATTGACAAGGCAGCAGGCAGCCCCCTCCTTCCCTCCACACCACCCTGGGTCAAGAACAGCCCCTGCCAGTGAAACCCTCAGCTAGGAAATGCCAGTTTCCCATGTAATGGCCAGAACAGGGACCAGCTCCAGAACCGGTCCTGCCCCTGGCTCGTTTCAGGGAGTTGCACTGTTGCAAAGAGCCATGCGCTGAAGCATCCTGCCAGCCTCGTATCAGCTCCAGGAAGGAACTGATCCTGGGCCCCTTTGCAAGCTGCTCATGCCCCCTTACCATCCACTGAGACCGAGGCAAAGCCTTTTCCTAGGGAAGCTGTTTGAGACACCCCCCCCCCCCAAAATCCAAAAACCCCCCCTCACCTTTAAACACAAGACTTTATCAGTAAGAACTTTGGTAGGGGTTCCCCCTGATCCCCCGGGGACCCAAGCCCGGGGGGGGGGGGGGGGGTAGTGGCTGCTCTTTTCCCCCTTTGCAGGTTAGGGCTGCAGGGAACATTACCCCTCCCACCAGCAGGACACGTATTCTCTTAGCAAAACATTTAACGGCTGCTGCTGCACACAACAGCCCCGGGCCCGTGGCTGTGCTGGGGTCACTGCACTGCTGGGTTTCTCAGCAAACCTCTGGCCGCTGGTACTTCCAAAACGCCATTTCTCCATCATCGCTGCATGAAGCCAGCAGCCCCGGCTCCTTGGGATTCCAGGCCACACAGTTCACGTCCTGGGAGTGAGCCCTGGGCATGTGGGCGGTCAGCGCGAAGGTGGGCTGCTGGAGACTTGACAGCGGCTCTTCCTCAAATATGCGGATAGCATCATCTCCACAGGCTGTAGCCAATGCTCCTGTCAGGCGACACCTGCAGCAAACGGAGGGCAGTGAGTGAGCAGAGATTATTCTCTCGCTGCACGTTGCTGCAGCATGACAGGGGGAGATGGTGAAGCCAAGCCAGTCCCTGCCCCAAGGAGCGCAGACAAAGCATGACCAGCCCGAGGGGCACAGGGATCCAGGTGGGTAGGGGGAGCACAAGGAGGCTGCTTGGGGCAAAGGAGCTGGGAAACTGGTGAAGGCCTGGAGGAAGAAGAGAAGCAGTGGAATGAGCCCTGCATTAGGCACTGCATATGGTTACCACCCTCAACCGGGGCAGGCTTAGTGGAGGCAGTTTCCTTCTGAGAGCCCCAGGAGCACAGACCGATTGGAGCAAAGAGCCTCGGTGGCCCCCGGAAAGGGGGAGAGAAGGGTGAAGGTAGTTGATGCCAGGTGGAGCCTGCACTGGGGACCAGATAACTCGTACTCCTGGGGGGATTCTGCACCAAATAATTCCAAATTCTGCATATTTTATGTCAAAATAACAGCACATAATCATGCCAGTTTCAGTTATTTTGGTGATTTATTTCAAAATACCTGTCAGCAAGTACGTCTAACAATACAGACAACAAAAGAGGTTCCCCCAGGAGTAGGGAGTTAAAGAAACCCCTACGACAACCAGTTCCTGTTTTCTGTTATGTTTTTGTTGGGTGCCTCAGTCTGGGTGTGTCACACATGCCAGCTGGGCACAGCCTGGGGGAAAACTCTGCCCCTCTGCTCTTTCCGTCAATTCTCAGTTTTTTCACCCTGGTCCCATAGGGTTACCATAGTTCAAGTTCCCCATAGAGGACACTACCAGGTTGAGGGGGAGGTGGAGGGATGTGTGTGTACTGGGAGGGGGCTGTAGGGCCCTCCCCCAGCCCAGACACCTGTACCCCTTCACCCCCAGAGCCCAACCGCAGGGTACCCCTCCAGCCCAGACACCCATGCCCTCCCCCCTCCCTCCCTCCAGAGCCCAGCCGCAGGGTACCCCCCGGCCCAGACACTCATGCCTGCCTCCCTCCCTCCAGAGCCCAACTGCAGGATACCCCCTGGCCCAGACACCCATACCCGCCCCCCTCCCTCCCTCCCTCAATAGCCCAGCTGCAGGCTCCACTCCATGCAGGTGCGTTAATGTCCCGCCAGGCAGAGACAACCTGTACCTGCTGATAGCAGGGGAGCACAGTGTAAAGGTTTGGCCCCCCAGCAGCCCTCTCCTTACCCTCAGTCTCCCCTCCCAGAAAGAAGCAGCAGCCCCTCCCTGCAGCTCCCAGCTGCCTCTCCCCAGGAGACGCAGTTTGTTGGCCTCCCGTGCAGGAAGGGGGCCCAGCCGCACCCTGTGACTGAGCGGGGCTGGCAAACCCAGGAACCACAACCCGCCCACCCAGTGCGAGCTGGGGAAACAGCGGCTCCTAGAGGCAGCCAGCCGCTCCAGTTCTGCAGGAAAAAAATGAAATTTTGCACAGAACATTAATTCTGTCCAAATTCTGCACTGGGCGGTGGCGCAGAATTCCCCAGGAGTAAACTCAGGTCTCTCCAGTGCGCTGAGACAGCGCTATTTTAAACATCTGACAGTGGGGGGCTGACCATTCCTGCCACTCTCCCACCGCTAAATGGGAGGGGTCCTGGGCTGGAAGCAACTGGAGTCAAGTCCTCCAGCACTCAGAACAGTTCAGTGGCAATATGCTCTTGCTTGGTGACCTACAGCTACATGAGAGGCCCCAGAACTGGAGCTCCTTCTGGCCTAGCAGGTTGGTGGTGCTGTGGGAACTACCCACTGTGCTAACTTGATCATGGCCCCACTGCACGGGTGTTGGCCAGACCCCAAAATTCCCATCATACTTCAAGGACAGGAGTGACGTGAAGCAGCTTCTGGCAGGCAGGGACTCAGCTGCATCAGTCAGTGCGTGGCCTGCAGTCCCAGCGCCCTGGGAGTGATTCTCACACCAGTATTCAGGGGTCCCTGCAGGACAAACCCCTCCCACCACGGAGCGTGGATTGGACTGAGCATTCCAAGGCCCAGGCTCACCATGCCACATCGTAAATGGTCCTGGTGTGGAAGCCAGACAGGGTGCAGATGCATTTCCAGCTGGGGTCAGCGCCGCTGCAGACCACTCCTGCAATACACCAGACAGCAATCAGAGCAGTTCTGCCTGCAGAGCGTGCAGCAGAGTCCCAGAGGCATGAGAAGCACTTGCTCCCGGGTTCCAGTTCTGGACCAGGAAGGGAAGACATTCGGTCACGCTAGCACTGCCCCAGGGCCTGATGGGTAGGGGCAGTGCAGTCTTTGTTCCAGCACATGGGGAAAGTCTGCCTGGACTCTAAGGCAATGAACACGGGACCATCGGGGCACCCGGCTCTAGGGGAGGTCTGTAGCTCTGGACCAAGCATCCCAGTGGCACTAAGTGAACGTAAATCAGTAGGTGTCACTGTGACGAAGTGGGGATTTTCCCTTCTTATCTTGTATGTGAGCCTGTGAGTCTTACTGTTGAGCCTATGTGAGTTTTACTGTTTTGCATGTGCCTCAGTTTCCCAGTGTGCTCCACCAATGCCTAGGTGGTGGGAATAAGGGTGTGTGACTTTTGCTAGACCCTCGGGGGCAGGTGAGGATGCCACTAGATGACAACCAGGTGACACTTTGCCTGGGAAGCAAGACAAGACCAGAAGGAGGAGCAAAGGGGGGTGCCTGAGGACAGGTCACTGGAAGCTGGGCAGTCTGCTTGGGGGAACTGGAGGGGGAGTCCAGGGCGTCTGGCCCGGGATTCCCCCAAGATGGACAGGGCTGAAAGTCACTGATTTCTGTGCTAACAAGTTCTGTTCTACGCTGTGTTCCTCTCGACTAATAAACCTTCCGTTTTACACTGGTTGAGACGAGTCTCTGCTGACTGTGGAGTTGGGCTGCAGGGCCCTCTGGCTTCCCCAGGAGCCCCACACGGGCGGACTCGCTGTGGGAAGCACACAGAGGGGCAGGGGAAGCTGAATGCTCCGGGGTCAGACCCAGGAAGATCAAAGCTGTGGAAGCTTCTTGCCTTGGCGACAGTCTGCTCAGAGAGGAGGCGGCTCCCCCAGATTCCTGACTGGCTTCGTAGGGAGTCGTTCCAGAGCATTGGCCCGGTGACTCCGTGACAGTCACAGATTCGGCTGCTCCAGAATGAGGGGTGAGATGAGCAAAGCACAGGTAGGTTTCCTTGGAGGCTGGTCTGCTACCCCTATAGGCACAGGTGCCAGTTGGGCCTGACTCAGAGATGCAGAGGGTTTGGGTTACCTTTGCCAGGGTATATGTGCACTGGCAGAGGTTTCAGGGGAAGCTGGCACAGCACTTTCCTGAGTCATTTGTCTGACTAGCCAGGGCTATTTGTCCCTCACTCTCAACCAGCTTCACCCAGACCAATGCTACATATAAAGGGGAGTGAGTCTAATGGTTAGAGCAGGGGACAAGGAGTCCAGAGTCCTGCTTTCCATTCTTAGCTCTGCCACCAACTCCTTGTGTGACCTTAGGCAAATCCTCTCCCATTTCCGCAGCTGTATATACTAGGGACGGTACCAACGCACCGCTCTCTCTCTAGTGCTCCAGTCTCCCGGGATGGCAGTGGGGTAGGAGTGGCTCCTGGGATAGGAGACTCTGCCCCCAGCTTGCCCTGCTCACCTTGCTCATTGCCTGGTTTGTACTGGTGCCAGATGCGCACGGTCTTGTCGTCGCTGCAGGAGGCCAGGCGCTCCCCACTCTGGTCGAAGGCAAGGCTCCACACCGTGGACTCATGTCCCTCCAGCGTGGCACAGCACACCCAGTCATCCTCCTCTTCGCGGTACAGCTTCACCGTGTCGTCATAGCTGGCTGATGCCAGCAGCTGATGGGGGAAAGGCGGAACACAAATGAGCTCAGGATCAGGAGAGCCAGGATGGGGGGCAGCACACGGGACCTTGCACACCCACCGAAAACGTGGCCTTTAGATTCCCCCCAGGCTGGAAGGAGAGAGACAGGCTAAGGGGAACATGGCCTTGGGGAGCCAAGCCTGAAGCCCCCCCTTTTTCCCAGAACGGCAGAGCTCCCTCTAGGGCAGGGTTGCCCTCCACTGGCAGGGTTGGGGGGAATCTGTATGCCTCTTGCTCAGGGAGCTGGGTAAAAGGGAGCCAGTCAGCTGATTACCTTTGTGCCTCTGGGCTCTGCCCAGAATCAGACCCAGTGGATGCCTCTCCCAGCTCTAGCTGCACCACCAACTCCCACCACCTTTGGCACCTGCCTAGGATCACAGCAACGACAGGCACTGCACCAGGACAGCAGATGTTTGGAGCGACTGAAGACCTGGGTGGGAGTGCATGAGGGGGCTAGGGAGGCCATTGGGGAGAGCCCTCACCTCCTGGTTGGGATGCCAGACCACGTGCTTGACATCCTGCGTGTGGGCGTTCAGGACACTCACACACTCGTATTCGTCCTCTTCGTCCACTGTGAGAGAGAAGGGGTTGTGGGTGAATGCAGCCAGGGACTCTGCCCAGTACCCTTCTGCATCCCTGTGACTGCCCAACGGAGGGGCAAAGGGGAAGCCCTGGCTCTGCAGCACCCAACCTGAATAGGTCAGCACAGATAACAGGGCTGCTCCTTAGTCCTTCAGCCGCCCCTTCCCAGACCCAGCTGGTCTGCCCACATCTCTCCCATGATCCTCCAGGTCTCAGGTCCCAGCCTCCCACCCATGGTCCCGCCTCATGTTTCTTGACAAGCCTGGTGTGACACAGGCTCATCGGTGCCAACGGTTCACTGTTCTTGACAAGTAACTCGTGTCTCAGACCTGACAAACTCAGGTCCACGGTATATCATGGTAGCACGTGAGGTCTCTACTGAAAGCTTGTAACTTATCGATACTCATTGCACGATGTACATACGGGCAATAGTTAAGGAATAATATAACTATATTGAAAATTGTGACTTATGATCTTGGAGTAAAAGTCAGCCACCAGGGAACCATGCATCTCGGTGACAGCCTATTCCAGCAGCAGGACGCTGTCACCCCTGCCTGGTTGGCTGGTGATGTAATGCAAGAGTCAATTGTCTACCCTTACCCCCTCCCAGATCAGTCAAGGGAAAAGCATCAAAGTCAACTGCAATCAAAACCACGTGAAGGGAAAAAGAAAACCTTGTAACAGACAGCACCCCAGCTGTGAACAGAGACCAAAGACTGATTCAGTAGGAAAGACACTCATCTTGAAGAGCACGGGTGTTGTCATGAACATGTGGATCCTGGCTCCTGAGAAGCAGCCAGCTCTGCCAGAGACTGAACTTTTCGGGGGGGATGGGGGACACAACCTCCCTTATTAGCTAGGAAAGGGAACTGTTAATAATTGTAGGCCCTAGTGCGTGGTTTATAATTTTGGTTTCATTGTAACCATTTGTTTCTACCACTCGGCTTTGTGTCTGGTGGAATCTTTACTCTTACATAAACCTTCTTTTGTTTTATTAGAAGTGTTCATAAGGGCTATGTGTTGTACAGGAGTGGTGATTTAAGGTCAAACTGGGGTAACCTGCTCCTTTGGGGGCAGAAGTTACAGGATTTCTGTAAGTGCCAGTGTCGGAGCTGGATATCAGAGGAATACTTCAAAGGGACTTGGAGACTGGGGTGCACCTCTTGTTAACCTGCAAGACAGATTGTTAGCCTAGCCCAGAGGAGAGAGAGCGGCTGAAAGGCTGGCGGTGTCCAGGAGCTAACATCCAGGCACCATGGGCAAGCCGGAGATACGGTGTAACAAGGTGACTCTCAGTCCTGAGAACCGTCAAACCTGGTTCCCCACATATCGCCCATGGTGTTCCTGGTCCCCCCACCCCTCAGACCTGTCTCTCACCTTCCCAGACCCAGACGCTCTTGTCTCGGCTGCAGGTGGCCAGGAGGCTGCCGGATGGGGCCCAGGATACGGACTTCACCTCGTTTTCATGTCCCTCCAGGGTGGTCACACACTGTCAGAGGGAGAGAAGGAGCTTGTGCTTAAGCCAGCCCCAGGGAGGGAGGAGCCTAGCTCTGCCATATGCTCCCAGTGTCCCCATTGGTCCAGGGAAGCCCAGAGGGAGCAGGAGAAGAGACAGTGACTCGCTGAAAGCAGAACAAGGAGGGCTCAGACAACCCACCATAAGCGATTCAGAGCCCCGGCAGCTGGGGACAGAGAGAAACCTTCCTCCCAGGAAGACCTGCAGCCAAGAATTCAAACAGGCTCTATGGGAACACTCAACGCAGCTCCACATGCCAGGCCACATCCCCCGTGCTGTAACCCCATTGCACTCATCCCATATGCACCCGACTGTAACTCCATGTCTTGTAGGGAAACTGCCCCCAGAGGTACTGGGCCAGCCATCCGCCGAGAGTGGGGAATCTAGCACTAAATTGGAAATTCTGCGTCTTTATGAATATATGTTCCCATTTCAAGCCACGCCCTAGAGATCCCCTTGCAGGCTCTTGATCACAAGAACAAGGGACACTCAATGAAACTGAAAGAGGACAAGTTCAAAAGTGATTGAAGGAGAAGTTGTTTCACACAAGCAGTGATTAGCCCATGGAACTCCCTGCTATGGGATACCACTGAGGGCATGAGCATTGCTTAGTTCTACGAGAGACTGGACATTTATATGAAGAACAAGATTATCCAGCATTAGAATAGTTAATACTCATGCATTTTGGAAGGGGTTCACGGCTTAGCCAGTTATTACGAGAGGTTAGGACAGGGGTGGGTAAACTACAGCCCGGGTGCCGCATCCGGCCCTCGAGCTCTCGCCGGGCAGTGGGGTCGGGGGCTTGCCCCGCTCAGCTCCCAAAAGCAGCGGCATGTCCCCCCTCTGGCTCCTACACGTAGGAGCAGCCAAGGGGGCTGCAGGGGCAGCGCCTGAGTAGGAGACGGAGGGGGGACATGCCGCTGCTACTGGGAGCTGCTTGAGGTAAGCACCGCCCGGAGCCTGCACCCCTGACCCCTTTCCGCGCCCTAACCCCCTTCCCCAGCCCTGATCCCCCTCCCGCCCTCCGAACCCCTTCGTCCCAGCCCAGAGCACCCTCCTGCACCCCCAAACCCTCATCCAAAGCCTCACCCCAGAGCCCGCACCCCGAGCCGGACACCCTGAGGACAATCCAGAGTACTGTATTTCAGACAGCACCCTGCCTAGGAAAGGGGCTTGATGCTAGAGCTGGACAAATAACTGATTTTTCAGTTTGCTGCAGTTCTAACAAATGGGGGGCGGGGGGGGGGAAGAGAATGGTTTGGGCCAAACTAAATCTGAAAATTTTGCAAGATTCCAGCGAATTGAAAAAGTGACCAGAAACTGTTTAAACATTTTGTTCAACCCAAAACAAACTGTTTTGATTTGCAGCACTTTTTCACATACCACCACCTAGCTCTTATATAATGCTGTTCATCAGTACTGGTCAAAGCATTTCCCAATATTTAATGTATTTCTCATCATTCCTCAACAGCCCCGCAAAAGAAATGAAGATCTACAAAGTGGGCTGGGGTGTGTGTATGGTTGTCAGTGGTTCTGTACCACTTTGTACAAAATACTCAGTCACTGGGCCAGTGAGAAAGACCCTGGTGGTCAGGGTACCCACCTGGGTGGCAGGATACCCACCCTGCTCCAATGACTAGTTATCCACAACGGAAGAACTTTAACAGGCGAGACAGCAAGAGATCCACAGCCCAGTGACTAGGGCACTCACACCAAACAGAGGGGGGAATTGAATCTAGGGGAGACCACCCCTGCAATGGTGGAATTGGAGGGGAGGGCCCTAGCCATTGCCTAAAGCTTACAAGGGATGCAGCACCTCCTCCAGTTTGGTGAATGGTGCCTACATCTCAGAAAGTTTTGGGGATGGAACTATTTGGTGAATTTGTGTCAAATTCACGAATCATTTTGGGTCAAGTGACACTAAATTGTCAGTGAATAAATATTGTGCTCAGCTCTAACTGACATCTCACTGATGGACGATCACTAAGATGCAGACAGACAGCAATCCGGGGCCACCCACTGCATCTGCAGGGGGCACAGTAGCAGGGTGTGGGGGGGGAGAATGTGTGTTCTGCTGCTCTCTGAGCTCTGTTGATACTTCTGGAGGGCACTCAAATCAGCACCTGACACCAGCACTGGCTCCACAAGCATCCTCTACACTCAGCCCTGTGAAGACAGCCGTACCTCAAACTCATCCTGGCTCTTCTTCCAAATACAGGTGGTGGCATCAAAGCTGGCTGAAGCCAGGTAGCTCCCACACGGGGACCAGGCTACCTTCCGGATGGTCCTCTGGTGCCCCTCGCCCAACACCGACTTGCACACCCAGCCATCCCCTAGGGCAGAGGACAAGAGAGAGATGAGCGAAGAGCGGGGGGCTTGGCAGCCAGAGCTCCCTTCTCAGCCCCGCTCCCAAATAGCTTTGCCTATGGCCAAGGCACTACGTGACGCAGCAGCCCATGGGCTCCCTGGACCCAGGAGACTCCAGGAGCAGCTGGGATTTCACCTTCATGGGACAGAGCCGGGTCCCCACCCACCAGCTGACAGCGCAGGCCCGACTTGGCAGCGGCTCCCTACCCTCCTTGCCCCAGATGCGGATGCTGCGGTCTCCCCCGCAGGAGGCCAACAGGGTCCCAGAGGGGTCCCAGGCCAGGAACCAGCAGCGAGAGTCAGGGTGGGCTGGGATCCGGGCGAGCAGCGACAGCGAGTCCTTCATCCCGAGGGCGGGTCTGGAACAGCCTCCCTGTGGGGTGGAGCAGAGGTTAGCCCGGAGCGCCCAGCGGGCAGCACTCACCCCGCTAGGCTCCCCGCTCCACACCCAGCCCCCCCTCCGCACCCGGCCCCATCTCACCCCGGCGTCCACTCCACTGCACCCCTCCCCCTCTGCACAGGGACCCCCGGCAGCCCCCGCTCCGCACCCAGCCCCACCTCACCCCGGGGCCCCCCCGCACCGCACCCACGCCCCACTGCGCCCCTCCCCCTCTGCACAGGGACTCCCCAGCGGCCGCCCGCGCCCCAGCTCGAGCCAACCCGCCTGCGGCGCGCGGCGCTGCCCCACGGGAGCCTCCCGGCCAATAGGCCCCGCACACTCCACTCCCAGGGTGCCTCGCGGGCGCGTGACGTCCTACGGCGCGTGACGTGTGACGTGTGACGTACGGCGCTGCCGGCCGGGGAGGCGGAAGCGGAAGGGCGTTCGGCGGCGGCAGCGACTCGGGCTCGGTTTCTCCCTCTCGGGTCCAGGGGCCGGTCGCTACTCGAGGGACTCCGGAAGTGCGGACCGCAGTGGGAACTGTGACGAGAGATCCTCCCGGGCCTCCCTGACTTGAGGGGGAGGCGAGACCGACCCCTGAGGGCTCTTTCCCCCCCGCCCCCCCCCCCCCCCCCCGCCCGGCTCGGACCCCGCTGCACCCCCCACCCAACAGGGACTCCTGGGGGCCAGCTTAGATCCTGCTGCTCCCCTCCTTCCCCCAATAGGGAGCCTGCCAGCTGCTGAGAGCTTCCCCCACCTGCAGCACCCACCAGGTACTCGCTTGGGCCCCTGGGTGCCCACTCTGCTTCCAGAGGGTGCTTGCCGTGTTCCCTTCTTCCTAAGTGCCTAGAGGGGGCCTGGGGTGCTGTGCCCCTCTGGCATCCCTCTTGGGTGCTGGGATTTCCTCACCAAGCTTGTCCTCCGTGTGACACGCATAGGGGTTGTCCTGGTTGGCATTTGCGCCCTGCTTGGGACCTAGAGCAGCACGGTCCACGGCAGGTTGCACTGAGCTAGTTTGTGCCCCTCGGTACTGGATCCATCGCAGGGAGAGGATTCTGGCATGTACACCCCAGGTGGCTCTGGGTTGCCTGGAGGGCGCAGGCGGAGAGGCCAGAGTGGAGGTGCCCTGCCAAAGCAGCCAGAGAGGAGCCTGGCTTCTGCGCTGCCCGGCGCCCTGTCTATCACAGCCCTGTGCACTGCGCTGGCAGAGCCTGCCTGGCTACGGATTCACGGGGGGACCTGTTCCCGTCAGGAGCTGGGTGTAGCTGATGTACTTGGCTATGTTGATCCAGAATTGCTTAGAGGTGAGAATGGGTTATTTTCTGTTCCTCCTGGGATTGGATGTGGGGGAGTATGTGGTTGGGAATGGTCCAGATCCAGTAAGCAGGAGCAAGCATTGGTGCCATATACTGTACATTTAAAGGGCTTGTCAATCCCCATACTGTCTCTATTACATATTTGTACAGTGACGGCTGACATGGCTTTCCCAAATCATCATCTTTATTATGACTGACTTCATTTCCTGTCTGCTCTGCTCAAAGAACTGAACAGCTTGAGCCTTGCTTTCAGACTTTGCTCTTGAGGCAGAATTCTGCACGTTGAGCTATATGGAGGGAGTCCCAGCTCTGATATTCTGTTCTCTGCAGAATTGCCTGTGGCATCAATGGCAGTTCCATGCACGTAGAGGGAGAGGTTGTTTTAAACTCTGTGCTGGGCAGAATTTTGCTCTATGTTGGCCTATAGCCAGTTGTTGAGTGAGCAGCAAGATGTTTGCATGCACTGTAACTGGGAACTACATGTTATTATTTTGATAAGACATGTGCTACTTCACCCCATGTTTTTAGTGACTCTCATTCAATGTGTTCCATTAGAAATTAGACTGAGCTCTTCGGAGCAGAGCCAGGATTTCATTCATGGTCCCTTTGGAAGTCAATAGGAATTTTGCCATTGACTTAATGCGGTCAGGATTCTGTATTTTAGTCTATATAGATATTTAGAAAAGAGGTGACTAAGGAGGGATATGATAGAAGTCTATAAAATCATGACTGGTGTAGAGACAGTGAATAGAGAAGTGTTATTTACCCCCTTCCCATACCACAAGAACTATGGGTCACCCAATAAAATTAATAGGCAGCAGTTTTAAAACAAACAAAAGGAAATATTTCTTCACACACTTCACAGTCAACCTGTGGAACTTGTTGCTATGGGAGGTTGTAAAGGTTAAAAATATAACTAAATTAAAAAAAAAGAATTAAATAAGTTAATGGCAAATAGGTCCATTAGTGGCGAATAGGTCCATCAATGGCTAGCCAACATGGTTAGGGACACAACCCATGCTCCAGGTGTCCCTAAATCTCAAAGTGCCGGAAGCTGGAACTGGATGACAGGGGACGGGTCATTCAAAATTGCCCTGTTCTGTTCACTTCCTCAGAAGCATCTGGTACTGGCCACTGTCAGAGACAGGATACTGGGCCGTTGGTTTCGACTCAGTATGGCCGTTCTCATGTTCTTCTGCCACAATCATCATCCTAGTATCTGAGCACCTTCCAGTAGTGCATTAAGCAACATGACTGACATCTGTCACATACTGTTCCCAGGGGGAGAAGCATGTGCAGTCGAATTTCTTGCTTTGGTAGGACTTTTAAATTTACACATTGCTCTGTATTCATGCTAGAGAAAGGAAGTAAAAGAAATGCATCAAGGTGCATTGGAAATTGGAAATGCTTCGAGAGGAAGGTGGTGAGGTTTGCAGTGGTCTTTAGTTCCTGGGGGAGTTCATTCCACAGGATTTCACCCCAGGTCTTTGCGGTTTTCTTCACAGTGTTCTGAGAGCTGTGTAAAGAACATCATTGGAAATTTGCACTAGGTTAAAGACAACACAGTATATGACTTACATTTTATAAAAAACAGTTGCTTGTTCAGTTTCTTTATTAGCAAAAGTAGAGGTGGTGAAAAAATGGGGGAGAAAAATTGGCAAAAACTTCAAACTAAAAATAAAAAAATAGTAACTTTCATTCCATGTTTTTAAAAGGAACAATTTTTTCACATTGAATTTTTTTTCGTGAACATTTGTATATTTTATTTACAACAAAATTGTTTTTCTGTCTCTCCCCTCATTTCGCCCCTTTCCA